ATTTACGTTATTTACTTTTTACATTTATTCATAAATGTAAAAAGTAAATAACTGTCAAATATCAAATATTATGATCTTCTATTAATGTACGGCAGAGTGTTTATTTGCGATATTTGTTTTATATGATTGGCCCATTGAATATTGATTGGCATTATAAAATAGTAGCCTATATTTTTTACTAATCAATCAAATGGAGATAAAAATCTTTTTCAATTACTTACATCGGATAAGTTAAAACCAAAGAAAGTTAGTGAAATTATTTCTATACCGATATACAGTAGTTACTAAAAAGTTTCTCTTTTAATCACAGTTTTGTAGGCACAGTATCCAGTTTAACAGTTTAGTTAGTTTGCTAAACGTGATAATTACGGTAAATAATCCTGATAATGGCTGGATATTTTAAGTTTTTGATCCCGCAAGAATAATTCACTCACCGGCACGGAAACTTGGCCAAGCGGTTATCTCGCGATAGCAAAAGCTTTAAGTGTTTCTGATGAATGTTTGTTATGCAAGTATGTCAAAAAATGTTTACCCTCAAGTTCAAGAGGGTAATTCATTATGTTTAAGTGCACCATGACGAATTCTTTAATTTTTAGTTGAATCGGGTCATTTGAGCGACTAAGTTCACATTTTAAATTTGTGTGTTGTGAAAAGTTTACTGTAAGGTTATTCAATTATTGTGATCTTGTGTCTTAATTAAATAACTAAAGGTGCTTTAAAGCCAATAAAAATGCCATTAACACCACCACAAGTTGCACAAGCAGTAGCATTAATTGACCAAGGGCTGACACAGCGTGAAGTTGCTATTGTGCTTAACGTACCACGGTCCTCAATGCAGTATTCACTGAAACGATACCAGGAGACAGGCCGCTACACCCGCAGGCCAGGCAGTGGGGGCGTAAGGTGCACATCGGCCCGGGACGATCGTTTTATTGTTATGGAGATTTTGAGAAACCGCTACCTGACCGCTGTTGAGATACGCCAGCGGCTCCAAATCGCAAGAGGCGTTAATGTTAGTGAGCGTACGGTGAGAAGACGAATGGAGGAAGTGAATTTAAAAGCTCGTAGACCAGCACGAGGTCCAGAACTTCTCAGACAGCACCGAGTAGCCCGACTTCAGTTCGCAAGAGAACATGTCAATTGGACCCACGAGCAATGGGCTAGAGTGTTGTTCACAGATGAGTGTCGAATAGCTTTACGTGCTCCAGACGGTCGAGAACGAGTGTGGAGAAAAAAGAGGAGAGAGGTTTCTACCCATTACCACCACCCAAACTGTGAGTTTCCATGGAGGCTCAATAATGGTATGGGGAGGTGTAAGTTCCGACGCACGTACAGAGTTGGTCATCGTCGATAATCGGCTTACAGCTACTCGATACATCGAGGAAGTTCTTCAGGAGCACGTAATGCCTTATTCGGGATTCATTGGACACGACCAATTCCTCCTCATGCACGATAATGCACGCCCGCACGTCGCACATTGTGTAGAGGAATATCTGGAAGAGGTTGGAATACAAAAATTACAGTGGCCAGCTCGTAGCCCGGACTTAAATCCAATTGAGCATGTATGGGGTATGCTCAAAAGAAAGATAAAGTCCAGCTCCAAACCGCCACAAACTCTAAATGAGCTCCGAAATGCAGCGCTGGCCGCTTGGGACAGCATACCGCAAGTTGATGTCAGAAACATCATTCAAAGCATGCCAGATCGAATGCAAGCGGTTATCAGGGCTAGAGGAGGAAACACCCGATATTAAAACTGATAGACAATAAAGAAACAGACTTAATTTTTAACTTTGTAGTGTTTTTAAAGTGACAATGGAAAGATGTTAATTTTAGTGAAAACATGTTATCTTGAAAAGAAAAATTTCGGTGAAGTAAATCTAAAACCATTAGAGACACTTATTGAATGCATCTACCCTTAATTTCCTGTTAAAAAAACGTTTCAGTGCAAATAATCAGCAAATTCACGAGTGGCCAAGTTTCCGTGCCGGTTCAGTAGCGTTATTTTTAATCTTATCAGTTGGTTACTATTAGTTTAATTTTTAGTTTATTTAGCAGTAAATAGATAGCGCTAATTTTAGATTAAAACTATGAAAGCTAAAATTTTTTTTATAGGATAAGATGACAAACGAGCACACAGTCCACCTGATGGTAAGTGGTTGCTGCGGCCCATAGACATCTACATCTATCCTCGATTACGAATCAAAATGCAGATGCGTTGTAATCCATGGGGACTCAGGTGGAATGCCTCATTTCCAGTAAAAAGGGTCTCCAGTTCTCTACACTCACCATACGAAACACAGCAGCATTAAGCTACTATTTGACGCTGGTATTCTGTGAGAGCGTGGTCCTTCCCCGGTCGAGCCGACCCATTCGTGCTACAACTATACTAGTAATATAACTGCAGCATGACTCTACCACAAATTGTCAAGTTATGTAAATGTGGCCAGATCGTAGATTGATTTCAAATATAGCAATCATTTCATGATAGCCTATTATTACCGACCATTTCTCCATAGTATAAACCAAAGTCGTTTTCCACTGTCCGCACGCTTAGATCTTTTAAACTACCCAATGAATTTTGATATGATTTTCAACAATAGACTGAATGATTCAAGTGGAAGGTTTGTGTATGTAATGAAGCATATTATAGTAATCTATAAATATAAAAATCAATTGTCCGATAGTCTCGCTAAAACTCACCGATTTTGATGAATGTTTTGTGTGTATTTAAGCGGGTTTCTGGATGGTTTAGATTTAAAACTTGACCCGGTAGGTGGCGCTGTTAACGATATCCAGAAATAACCCGTGCCAAGCCGAATGCGAAGCCACCTCAAAGCCGCGTACATTTATATTAATTAAATGTCCGCGATGAGGCATAAAGTTATGTGGATCCTGTTAAAAAATCTGTTTATGTTAAAAAATGCGCTATCAGCACCTCTAGCGGTGAATAGTGAAACTATTTTACGATTATTAGAATATTATGAAATAGCAATGTTGGGTTTAGTTGTTAATTTCTTCAAACAATGTTTATTCATCAATTTTGTCAAGTCTTATCATGATATGGTCAACAGACAGAAATTTCACGAAACGCCACGATTTCACGTAATGATCGAATATTCATGATAACATCAATTCTACGATCTGGTCACGACGTATATAAAAAAATATGTTTAAATAAGGTGGTTGGTTAAGGAAGAAGAGTTTTGCAATAATCGCAGGCAATCAATTTCAATCAGTTCATATTTATATACTTATTAGTAATTATACTAAAACCACCCGATTTTTCATAGATTTTACTATTATCTATTTATGTAAGTTATTGCTTTTAAAACGAAACAATGAAAAACTTAAAATAAATCTTTGAACATTTAATTCATTTAATAAATATAATTATTAAAACATATAAAAGTAAGTTATTTAATTTATTAGTAAATAACTGATAACTGAAGGCAAATTATACTACTCTTTACTTTTTATGACAGATGTAGAGGTTGCAAATATTCGATAGTTTTGATTTTCGAATATTCGAATATTTTTTCAGTGCTGTTCGAATATTATTCGAATATATTAAAAAAACACTTCAAATATCAGCTTTTATTGCTTTAGGAACAGAACAATAATCAACATTGCAAATAATCTAACATACCAACACGAATAGAATCATCATTTATCTTTAAACAATATAAACTCAGTGTTTAGTAAAATAAAAAGTATTATCAAATTCTTAAACATAGTAGGAACCTTATGTTCTTATAAATCTCACGATAATACATGAACATGTTAATCAAAACAATTATAAAATTCTCAAACAATTCAAAAAGTCTTAAACTCGTTAATAATAAAAATAAAAAGTATCACAAATGTAAAGGTGTCGTAAAGGCATTGCAGTATCATTTTCATATGCAATATTACACTAATAAATCAGATTCATCAATAATAACTCAGAATTAAGTTAGATTTACCTATTATAACATAAAATCAACACAGCTCCTAATAATTATTGTTTTTTACGTATTCTTTGAAAGTGAGACATGAGGAAACTTAAGGCGTCTAAGGAATCATTGCTTAATTTACATCTGAGATGATTGCAGATATACATCGTAGAAGAAAATACCCTTTCGCACTCTATACTAGTTGGTGGAATGCACATTAACACGTCATAAGCCTGAGTTAGGTGTATTTGTCTTGGCGCTCCTGCATCATATAAAGCCATCTGCATTTTTATTGATGATTCTAGATCATCTTCGCAAGTTGCTGTGGACGTAGAAGGCCTTGTACACATTTCATCATCTATTTTTTTCTGCAGCTGTTCTTTTATTGACATATTTGTGATTCTAGACGCTTCTTCATTTTGACAATGCTGTAGATCTACTAGAAACATGTCATCTTCGTCATCAGAAGCGCCAGTATAAGTTATTGTTGAAGGTCTTTGATTAAAGTTTTTTTTTGTATGTTGACTATGACTTTGGTGATAACATCATTTCCTACTTTAGGGAAGACAGTAGAAGATTGTTCCTGGTAGTATTTGTTAGGATTGTGTAAATACTTCAGTGTACATACCAGATCTGTTTATCGTCGTTGAGCGATTCTTAATGTAAAGCCTGAAGGAGTCTACTACTGATAACCCCATTGTTCTCTTGTAGTTTAGTGACCATGAATTGCAGGGCTGTATCCGCAGTTAATAAATTCGCCTTTTCTTGGCAAATAGCTTCTACAGTGCTTTTTACGATAGTGAGAGTCGTAGATAAATCCTGCAAAAGATCAAGCTCGTAGGTACTGAACATAGTTTTTTCTTTCAAGTCAATCAGTGCCTTTAATATTGCATCCTTTAAAAGCAAACATTTTGAAACCATGTCCGCTATGCTGCTCCACCGCGTTTTGCAATCTAAAGCCAGGCCCGCTCTTTTGTTATCTTCAAGAACATGTTTATTTAAAACTTCTGTCCTAGTTGGAGACTTCTTGAAAAATTTCACTACCTTTCGTACTTTAACAATCAAATCCTAAAAATCGACATTAAGCCTGGATTCACTTCTGGTTTCTGCATTACTAACTACAAAACTTTGTCCATCGTCATTTTCATCTGTTTCTTCATCTTCTGATTCTTCTGCCTCTGAATCTACTATTGTAGATAATGTCTCCTCTGTGTCTATTTCTTTTGAATTTTCGACAGTTTCTACACTCTGACTATATAAGTTCTTATATATGACATCCACCACTGCACACTGAATTCCATGTGCGAGGCATAATTGGTGAAATGAAGGTATTTGACAACCCATGGCAGTCATAACGCTAGCACCGTCTGTCACTACACCTACTACGTCATCTTCTAAAAATAGATCGTAGGACCCTAATTTAACCCGCAAAATATGATTACATCTTTCCGATGTTCCTCTACCTGTAATTCTTGCCAATCCCAAGTTTCTGAAAGGCTTGTCATTGCCATTGAAATTAGGGCAGTGAATGTTAATATTCACATAACGCCGGTTACTAGCTGATGTCCACTCATCAAGAGAGACGGAAAATTTCTGTCCTTTTGCTTTTAAAACCGACAATTCTTTTCTCAGTTCTTGTTTTAACTGGTCACTTTTTTTTATAACAATCTTCTTAATTGTGTTCGGAGATTTCGGCAAAGCTTCGTATCCACTTTTAAAAAAAGCATACGTATAGATTCTGATTTGCAAAAAAACGTTAAATGGTTGACCATCACACGCAGTCATTTTGGAAATCACAGTTTCCATATTATCTTCTTAGGTGTTCTGATAGTAATCGTCAATTCTGACTTTTTTGTCTTGGGCATGGGCCGCTAATCTTGTTCTTGTACTACCTCATTTGTGGGAGTGGTAGGCGTAGCAGTCTTATTTCTATCTATATTATTTATATCAATATTTCTTCTTGTATCTAGTAGACCGAACAATAAAAAAAATCTTATGAGTAAAAGCGTTAATACCTTTTGGTCAAAAGTAATAAATGTAAGTGAACAAGTAGTTAATAAAGGTAAAAGCCGTAAAAGTAAGTTAAATGAGTGACTAACCAGGTACACTTGGATGTTGTTTCTTCAAGTGATTGTGTAAGCATGTGGTGGTATTTAAGCATTGAAGAATTCTTTTGCATAATTTGCATTTTGCGTGACTTCCATCCTCAGTCCGTAAGAAAGAGTTCCATACTGAAGATTTGTCAAACGTACGTTTTGTGTACTCTTTAAAAACCAATTTATCCATCGTCAACTGATCTGCAATGTAATTGAATTTGATACTTGTAAATACATATAACGTAGGTATTTGGTGATCAGTGCAAAGTGAGTTTTTAGGTTAAGTCATAAATTCAACCACCGTGTTTGCAAAAAAATAACAAAATACACAATACTTACATAAAACAATCCACAAATACTTTTATATAAACACCAGAATCAAATCACTTCACAAAAGACAAAACGCACAGCTTTGCAAGTATATAACAACGCGTTCTGTAAGTGAATGAACTCAACAAAATGGCATCAAGACACTCAAGCCGTTAAGCAGTGTTGCCAACAACAATTTTTAAGTTCTACCAACATAGACTTGACTAGTATTTTTTTTTGGTAGTTATTCGAATATTCGAATATATATTTATTTACTATTCGAATATAAATTTGGAAATAAAATTCGAATAATTCGAATATTCGAATATTCGATTGCAACCTCTAGACAGATGGCACTCTTGCGGAAACGTACAATATAGGTCAAATTATTACATAACAGTTAAAACAAATTTGAAACTTTAATTATAAATATTGTATTAATTTAAAACAATTACGTTATCCCGCTTATAACTAGAGACAGAGACAGAGGTACAGAACACTATCGCACACAAAGGTGACAAACGAGCACACAGTCCACCTCACAGATTATTTAATTTTAATTTGAGCTACGCGTCTCCATATTTAATTTTCATTATTAGGCTGAGTTTAAAAACAGATGGTGTTAAATAAGTCATCCTTAATTTACACTTTATAATATTTATTTTTTAAACATCAATTAATTACATAGCACAAGTGCTGCCATGCAATTAATATTTACGTTTTTTGTGGTTTTTTTGCAGAAGAGGGGGCAAACGAGCGTGGGGATCACCTGATGTTAAGCGACTACCGCCGCCCATGATCAACCGTAACACCAGGAGAATAGCAGGTGCGTTGCCGGCCCTTTAGAAAAGAGTAAGCTCTTTTCTTGAAGGTCCCCAGGTCGTATCAGTCCGGAAAAACCAACCACTCGCAATACGAAACAGCCGCAATGGGCTGCTATTTTACGTTGGTATTCTGTGAGAGTATGGTCCTACCCCGGTCGAGTCGACCCAATTGTTCTACAACCATAATATAGCTGTAGCGTGGACCTACCACGTAAAGGAAATAAAAACAAAATTGGCTATTAAAAAAATGTATTAACTAAAACATTCGCTATAAAAGTATCCATATCAATCTGACGACAACGGCCACCAACAGACAGCAGATTGGTATGGCATCATCTTGGCTTCCCTCTGGTGTAGCCCGGATACCTCGCCTTTCTTCAGCGGCTGTGTCAGTCCCGCCATCTTGGGCTTGTTTATGGGCTACCCCATCATAGAGAATTTGGTCGCGCTTGTAATCCTGACGGTGAGCATTTTGCCCATGTACTTCTCCTTTTTTGGTCACCAGAACCTGCTCGTAGAATTCATTGTGGGCGACGTAATAGTTCTTGTCGTGGGAAACGTCAGTTACGAGGACTTCTTGCACATGGCCGACCTTATGTCCGTATGGCTCGTACAAACGGAAGGAATCTGAGAGAGCCTTTGTACGTTTCTTGACTTCTTGACCAGGAACCTGAAGAAATAGAAATAAAATAATACAATTCTAGCGATCCGCACCGACTTCGCTCGAGTGGTTTCTGGATCTGGTCACGTAGCGGGTTCAATTGTGCACCTAAACCATCTAGGAACCCATTCAAACAAGTGATGATCTTTCATACATGCTGCAATAATTTTTTTATAAAATGAACGTTACACGTCATGGCAAACCATACCCAGAACAAATATTTGTAGACTATACATATACTTGTTCCGTGCGGGATTTGAACTCGCGGCCCTCAGCGCTGCAACTCATGGCTAAGCCACTGCGTCACGGAGCCGTCAATTAATTTTATTTATATAGATAGATTATAAATAATAGTTATTGAAAGTTACTCTTTTGTTTAAGCTACCACTGATTCGGAAAATACCTTTGTCCTGGTAAGAACCAGGAAGTAACGCTGGATATTTTTTTTTCGAAAAAATAACAGTTTACAATAATTATATATATAGCTCAACTTCAATTAACATATAGCTCAACTTTAATTAAAAAATAATTAACAACACAAAACAAATTAGAAACAGCTTGCTAGCGGTCACCTCGTGTCCAGGGTTGTTATCATCACCGGCCTATAGAAATCTACTGCTGAACATAAGCTTTATAAGGGGGATATTTGCCATAGTTGGCACGCTTGGCAGGCGGCTTGGCACCGCAGTTTTTACTTCTAGTTGTTGTTAGACAGACGCTTCTTCCCATCCTGATTTCTTTCTCATTGTCACCTCTTACGACACTCATGGTGGTCACACCTCTGGTCTACATAATGACGAAAGTTCTCATTATAGGATTTATTATAATTACTTTTTTATATAGAATTAGGGTGACAAACGAGCACACAGTTCACCTGACATCTACATTTATCCTCGATTAAAAGAATCAAAATGCAGATGAGTTGTCACCCCTGAGGACCTAAATGGAATGCCTCGATTTAAGTAAAACGGGTCTCCGGTGCTCTACACTCACCATACGAAACACATCAGCATCAAGCTGCTATTTTACGCTGGTACTCTGTGAGAGCTTAGTCCTTCCCCGGTCGAGCCGACCCTTTCGTGCTACAACCATAATATAGCTGCAGCGTGACTTTACAACATATAAAACTTGCTACGTATGCGCGTATATACCTACTTATTTTAGGCTTGACACTTAAAATTCGGCTGGTATTTAGTTAATGTATTTTCGTTTGTTTGTATAATTTATGTTCTGCAAGTAGCAGCAATAAATAAATATGTTCTTTCTTTCATTTTTTCTTTCGATTATGTCATGCAACCGAAGTGGGCTAGGAAGAGATTATATTTACCCTGGTCATCTTTGCAGCGGGGGTGCCAGGTCTAGGGAAGAACTGGTTGATGAAGAGCGAGGGGAACTTGTACTTCCTGCAGAGCACCATCGTATTCTCAAAGTCCTTCTCCGTCTCGGTGGGAAAACCGCAGATGATGTCTGTCGCGATCGTCATACCGGGCACCCTGGCAACACAAAGGTTGGAAACGTTTGAAAGGGAAAAATGTTTATACAGGCGTAAACAAACAAATCTTATTAGAATTATCCTCGATTAAGAATCAAAACGCAGATGCCTTGTCACCCCCTGCCACAACACCCATTTACCACCAGGTGGATTGTGTGCTCGTTTATCATCCTTACTCTATAAAAAAGAGTTCTTGAAAACGGGGTACATTATATTTGATTATGGATTATTTCAACGAACAAAAAATATATTTTAAGTTTTAGCGCAATCCGATGAACGGTATGACAGCGTATAAAATACGAACAAACAAACATTCCTTTTTATATATTAGATAAAATATAAACAAATGTACAAAGGTATTTTTAAAAGTATCATATCAAAGGAGTACAGTTTATGTACATTCAAAACCGTAAACCAAATATTAATATATGCACTAAGTAACGAACAAAACTATTTTTACAGATTTTATTTATACATTTGAAAGTTACAGCCTATATACGTCCTACTGCTGGGCACAGGTCTCCCCTCATTTCTAAGAGGGTTTTTAGGGCAAAGAAGTGTCCGCCGCGCTGCCCCAAGTCTTCGAAATATTTTTTTTCTTATTCCTCAGACATGCAGGTTTCCTCAAGATGTTTTCCTTCACCGCCGAGCACGTGGTAAATCAGCACTTAAAATTACAATTAACAATTTCATTGGTGCCGGCGGGGATCGAACCCGGGTTACTCGCGTTCTGTTTTATTTACAGCGAGCGTTAACCATCTGAGCTACCACGGCTCTATTTTTATTTATTAATTTACTTCCTTGAAATTCTCGATGTTTCAGGTGCTTTGCAGCACCCATGGTCACAGTGGGACAGTGGGACTGCGGTGATTGACGGTCTGATGTCAAAGCGGAATACATCTTACAGCGTTTTAATTAATAGTTTTGGTCCGATCTATGCAGAATGAGCTTACTTCTTATATAGGACAAACAAAAAGATCAATAAAAAACCGCGTAAAAGAACAAATAGCTGACGTGAAACACCAACCCTCCGGGAAAACTGCAGTTTGTGATCATATTGTTACGAGCTTGAGGTTCGTGACAATAAAAATTGCCGATAAAATTACCTAAATTAACACTTTAATTTAATAATAATAATAATAATAAAGCCTCTTTATTCCTTAATAGAAAATATTTACAATACAACAATTATATGTACGCTTAGAAAATATAAAATAAAATATATATTTCAATTAAGGACCCCTCTTTGGGTAAAGGCCTCCTCCATCTTTTCCCACTCTTTCCGGTTCTGTGCTATTTTTAACCAATTTTTTCCTGCTGTCTTTTCAACCTCATCGACCCATCTTTCTTTCGGTCTTCCTTGCTTGCGTTTGCCTGTTGGTCCTGTCCACATGGTTACTCGTTTAGTCCACTTGGTATCTGTGGATCGTGCTACATGACCTGCCCACTTCCATTTCAATTTTTGAGAGTAATGTAATGCGTCTATCACTCTCGTTTTCTTGCGAATGTCATTGTTTTTGCATTTATCTTTTAGTTTTAGGTTTAGGATACTTCTTTCCATTGCACGTTGACATGTTAGTATTTTATTCCTTGTTTGTCTATTGAAGATCCATGTTTGGCAGCCATATGTGAGACAGGGAAGTATGCAGGAATCCATGACTTTCTTTTTTAAATTTAGCGGTAGATCTGCTTTGAGTACCTCTTTATGTTTCCAAAACTTATTCCAGGTTATAACAATTCTCCTATCGATCTCGTCTTGATTTCTAGAAATTTTGAAAGATGTTTGTTTGCCTAGGTAGTTATAGTGATCTACATATTCAAGCTCTATGTCATCTACTTTTATTGGGTGTTTTGTGCTATTTGTGCATACCTTCGTTTTTTCAGTGTTTAGTTTTAGGCCTATTTTTGTGCTTACATTGTTAATTTCTTGTATCATGGCTTCAAGTTTTTTATGTGAATCGGAGAAGATAACAATATCATCGGCGAAGCGAAGGTTGTTCAAATAGTTGCCATTGAGATTAACTCCTGCTTTATTCCAGGATAGGTCTTTCATAATGTGTTGTAGTACCGCTATGAAAAGTTTAGGTGAAAGAGGATCGCCTTGTTTTACTCCTCTACGTATTTTGATCTCAGGTCCTGTACGATCAAGTTTAACTCGGCTTGTGCTTTGTTCATAGATATTTCTTATGATAGCTATATATGTTTGTGGTATTTTTTGCTGTTTGAGAGCTCTCCATATACTGTCATGGGATATAGAGTCGAATGCTTTTACGTAGTCTATGAATCCGAGATATAGAGGTTTATTGAACTCTATAAATTTTTCAATTATCAAATCTAAGGTATGGATATGATCTATGGTGCAGAAACCTCTACGAAAGCCCGCTTGTTCTGTAGGTTGCTGTTCGTCTATTTGACCTCCTATCCGTTTTTCTAGGCACAAAGCGAAAAGTTTATATATCGCAGGTAACAGACTTATAGGGCGATAGTTGCTAGCATTCGTTGGGTCACCTTTTTTTGTACAAGAGAATAATTCTTGATTCTGTCCATTTTTTTGGGAACACTACGTTTTTTTACAACACTTTAATTTACTTTACACAAATTAAAACTTAAAACACTAATAATTAAACACACTAATTCACTTTATTCCGCTCCGAAGCTTCGCTTGTGTCGCCAACTCCAATACTTCCCCGATCGCATCTTGCACCGCCTATATATACAAATTAGCAATGAAGCATCCGGAATATTCAAGTAAATGCGCGCAAAGCGACGAGTGTTCGAGTGTAGATTTTCTAGAAACTTAGTTCGTCGGTAAAGATTTGTGATGTCATTTTCTGCAAAGCTCCCCTCGCTCTCGTTCCTGACACTAGATGGCGCTAGTGTATGACGTTGAGCGCGTAACAATATCATAGACGGCCTCCGTCATTACATTTGATATTACAGGTTTTGATAAACCCATATATCTCGCGAAAGAACATCGAGTCCCATCAAGAATGATACGAGAGGCTATTGAAATTTAAGCTCATTTCCATGAAAGAAATAATAAAAGCAATTTAGAATTATGTAAATGTAACTAGCTGGTTAAGGCTGAGGCCGCGTTGCCACTTGGAAGAACACTCGCGGTAGTCTTGCATTCGTTTCTTGCAATACTGTTTATATATCGTATGAATTCTTGCAACGTTTCTGCAATATAATTATATCTTGGGAAGCTCGCGAATCATACTAATCCAACTTAACACAGAGGTTTTTTTATTATTTACACACCAGAGCTATAAACTGTGTAGCAATGGCTACGGTAATTTAGTTTACGAGTATTGTTGTAGGATAGCAGGAAACGTGGCCTTCATATTTGACATATCCTATGTGAGGTATAGGATCGGTTGTTGAACAGTGAACCAACCAGGAACATTGAACCACCACCATGTTGAAAAAACTGCGAGGTTGCCAATTCGACCGATAGTGTTAAAACTTTTCTCGTAGACACCCTTCCCCTCTCCAGTAGTTAGCCGGTGGGCCGGTGGCCGCGGCTTGAGCGTGGCGAGTGACAGCGGTTTGTTGGTTTCCCGCCAAAAAAACATAGAATTCTCACGTGTCTCGATTTTGATATATTTTGTTATTAATTCTAGCACCAAAAGCTTTATGGTGTCCTAAACCGTAAACCGTGAGCGCGATAGAATATATAGCTGAAACTGATATTACGACTACTTCACAACTAAAAGGTGATACGCTTACGCCTAATATTATTAATATTAATCCTTATTAGTAGTAACCACAGAACACTATTACTCCTATGTAGTAACATACGATTTATTACAGAACACATCATTTTTAATATCCAGTCTAAGTGGTATTTTATTAATATTTTGTTGTGTTGCAATGTTTTCGAAATAAACGACTTTAGATCTTATTGTGTATTTAATAGAATGTTATTTTTAATCCAATTAATTTTAAATATTTGTAACACGACCTGAAAATTTAAGTTGAAACCGACATTGAAACATTGAAGTACCTGTTTGCTTTTGTTCTTTGGGTTTCAACAAAAAAGCCTTGTGTTTTATTTTAAAATTTTATTTTCAGTTTCGTTCACATGCATCGTGAATTGCGTCGCGTAATTTGAATGCAGATGACATATTTTATATAATTTCTCTGCTCACTTTCGTTTGTAATTCGGTTTAGAAATTTTAATTTGATATTTTTTTCGTTTTATGATAGTTTTTAAGCTATTTTATAGCTTCTATCGCGGGCCTTGAGCGCGGGGACCTTTGAGCATAGAAAATAGAGGAGCTGCCCAGAGCGTCTATATGTTTTATTGATTATACAAATATGGTTATATTCGACACTGAACTGTCAATATGCTGCCTATCTCTTTTTCACTCAGCGAAGTGTAAGTCTAAGTGTCATTCATAAATGAAACAGATAATAGAAATTGTTTCGCATTCTGGTAAACATTTTTAAGATGACGTCATTTAACCCCGCCTTGCGGCCGATTCCGCCATTTATTGTCTCAGATTTGCTGCTATAAAAAGTCGTTTGATATTTCTTAATTTGAAAATTTTGCGAATTTTTAAACAGTTTATAGTGAATTTTCCAATTCATTATAAAGAACGAAGATGACTAAGTGTTGCGTAAGAGGCTGTACCTCAAAATATAGTCAAAAATCACACGAACTATCATTTCATAGGTGAGTGATTTAGTTTTTGGTGTAAATATAATGTAAAAACGTTTATATCTTTTGCGACAGTAAGTAGATGGATGTAATTATTTACCCTAAACCTTTAATTCATATTATTTAATTACTTCTTATCATTCTTTGCGTATCTATAAAATTTTGTTGTTCGTAAATAGTGATGTTACATTGCTAACAATACATTCTTTCAAGGACATACTTTATTAAGGTTTTCTTGATTTATTCTGTCGTATTATGTGCAAAAGTTTTGCGTTATGCATTGCATTATTTCGGTGTCATGGGTCTGAGCAGTGAGCATAAATGATTA